GCCTTGATGACCTGTTGGCGTACTTCCAAGGGCATTCCGCCCTTAAGCTGAAAGAACACCGAGACATGAAATGTTATTTTTGCCTGCTGCCATGCTTATAATTTATTATTATTATTATTATTTTGCAGAACATTCCACTCTACTTTTTAGTAACAGAGCAATATATGATGCCTACCACAGGGTCATTTTAAGTTCAGGCAAACCATGCTCTTCTTCCCACATGTTCGTGGGCCTGGGTGGTGTGACATGGTTCACAGGTCACTGGCGAATCTGTTAATTAAATCAAGAATGCTGTATTAACTTACCAAAGAAATACACTTTCCAAAGTTCCATGTGAAGAGGGAATGATTGTTAAACTGTAGCTCTGGCATCAATTCCTGCTTTAAATGTGCTTTAAAAGTATGGTGTGAATGTGGCCATATTCTAGTTGCAAACTTTGTTGTGTCTGCTCCGTAAACAGGTTGCCCAGAAGGGACGAAAGTTAACACCTGAGTTCAGATGGGGTTTCCCACTTCTTCCCACAAAGCTCACATTGTCCACGCTCCCTGTGATTTCAATTGTTTGTACCAGTATTGCAGTGATTGCCAGATTACTATCTTTTGTACATACTGGATTGCTCGCTAAAGATCCGTTGATCTTTCTTTAATGCACAATCATGTCTGGAATGTGTAATGGGCCCATTAACTTTGGAGGCTACTATCAGCCATAACACACCTATCCCCCAGGGTGGATCCAAAACCAGACTTCTGGGGTGTGTGTGTGTGGCATCTAAATTGCAAAGTAGCTGGCAAGGAAGAAATAGGTTAAAGTAACATTTGCAGCTGGCTGGAAGGAGGGGCCTCAAGGGGCTCCCAATGGATGAAGATTGCTTTCCAGAGGACTGCTGCTCCTTTACAGATCAGTGCTGTTTATCTGGGCATCTATTTGCTCCATGCTCAGTGTGTATACCTGTAAATAATAAGCCTCCTCTCTGATACAACACGAAACTAAACCCTGTTGTATGTGATCCTTTAACTTTGCATTGTTCCAGGATATGTGGAGCATAATAATAATAATAAAAATAAATTTTATTTATATCCCGCCCTCCCTAGCCGAAGCCGGGCTCAGGGCGGCTAACAACAATAAAACAGTACAAAAGTACAGCACAAACAACACTCTAAAATAATTCATTATAAAATTAATTAATTCAAGCCACTGGCAACCATTGGGCCAGAGCTCCGCGAAGATTGCCGAGGGAGGGAGTCAGGCTGTGCCCTGGCCAAAGGCCTGGTAGAACAGCTCTGTCTTGCAGGCCCTGCGGAAAGATGTCAAGTCCTGCAGGGCCCTGGTCTCTTGTGACAGAGTGTTCCACCAGATCGGAGCCACGGCCGAATAAGCCCTGGCTCTAGTTGAGGCCAGCCTAACTTCTCTGTGGCCTGGGACCTTCAAGATGTTTTTATCTGAAGACCGTAAGTTTCTCTGTGGGGCATACCAGGAGAGGCGGTCCCGTAGGTACGAGGGTCCTAGGCCGTATAGGGCTTTAAAGGTTAAAACCAGCACCTTAAACCTGATCCTGTACTCCACCGGGAGCCAGTGCAGCTGGTATAGCACCAGGTGAATGTGATCTCGCAGCGAAGACCCCGTAAGGAGTCTTGCTGCAGCATTCTGCACCCGCTGGAGTTTCTGGGTCAGTCTCAAGGGCAGCCCCACGTAGAGTGAGTTACAATAATCCAGTCTGGAGGTGACCGTCGCGTGGATCACAGTGGCTAGGTCAGGGTGAGAGAGGTAAGGAGCCAACTGCTTAGCTTGGCGGAGATGAAAAAATGCCGCCTTTGTTGTAGCTGCAATCTGCGCCTCCATGGAAAGGGAGGTGTCGAAGATTACACCCAAACTCTTAACGGACGGTGCTGGCACTAATTGCACCCCCGCAAGAGATGGGAGTTGCCCCCCCAATCCCATATCATCCCGTCCCAGCCACAGGACCTCTGTCTTCGAAGGATTTAGCTTCAACCGGCTCCCACGTAACCTCCAGCCACAGCTTCCAAACATCTGGTCAGTGTGTCTGGGGCCGAGTCAGGATGGCCATCCATCAACAGATAGAGTTGGGTGTCATCAGCATACTGATGGCAACCCAGCCCAAAACTCCGGACAAGCTGGGCGAGGGGGCGCATAAAGATGTTGAAAAGCATCGGGGTACTCCACACACCAAGGAGTGGCGCGATGACAATTCCCCCCCAAGCGCCACCCTCTGTCCCCGACCAGAGAGAAACGAGCGCGGCCATTGAAGGACTGTGCCCTGGATCCCCACGTCGGCAAGGCGGTGGTCCAGAAGTTCGTGATCGACCATGTCGAAAGCTGCTGACAGATCTAGAAGAATCAGCAGCCCCGACCCACCTCGATCCAGCTGTCTACGAAGATCATATGTTAGGGCAACCAGAGCCGTCTCGGTCCCATGACCAGCTCTGGAATGGATCCAGAGCCGATGTTTCATCCAGAAACCCACCAAGCTGTTCAGCAACCGCTCTCTCAATCACCTTACCCAGGAACGGAAGATTCGAAACCGGGCGGTAATTGGATAGATCTAAAGGATCTAATGATGTTTTCTTTAAGAGCGGGCGCACCACTGCCTCCTTCAGTTCCCCTGGGAATGCCCCGTGCCAAGGGACAAATTGATGATATCCCCCAGGAGGGCCTGCACCTCGTCTGGACACGCTCTAATCAGCCAAGACGGGCACGGGTCGAGAGGACAGGTGGTGGGCTTTCCAGCTCGGAGGAGTCTGTCCACATCGGCTGGGGATATCAGGTTGAAGTGGTCCAATACTGGACCCGAGGACAGTCGAGGGGCCTCCAGTTCCTTTATTGTATCCAAATTGGCATGAGTGCGAACCCAGCTCAGTTGGTAGAGCACGAGACTCTTAATCTCAGGGTTGTGTGTTCGAGCCCCATGTTGGTCAAAAGATTCCTGCATTGCAGGGGGTTGGACTAGATGGCCTTTGTGGTCCCTTCCAACTCTACAGTTCTATTATTCTTATGCTCCTTTTGTGTTGTATCTTTTATGTAGTAAACCAGAGGGCCTCTCGGCCTATTCTGGCGAAAGCCTGAGACTTTTGTCTCTTCCTCTTCTTGAAATCTTTCAGTTCCTGCTGACCATTTAAAGAATTCTGCCACCGAGAACGTAAATGCTTCAGTTCTTTTTTCCCCCTCCACCCTCACAATCCCTTTTCCTTTTGTGTTGTGTCTTTTAGATGGTAAGCCGAGTGCTGGGACATTACTGACATTTGTAAGCTGCTTTGGGAGCCATCCCCCGCCCCCCCCCCCCGGAAGTGTGGGATGAAAATAACTATCACCAGAGCATTCCGGGTAGACCTTGGGGTGGTCAGCAGCTATGTTGTCTTTCTGACTTTAGAACTGCCAGCCTATTACATACAGGAATGCAGGAAAAGGTATTATCTTGTTTCAGGGAGGGTCACTATGGCTAGCAAAGCTGAAATGAGGGTGCGTTATTTCACTATCAGCAAAAAGCATCTTGATTTCTTTTATCCTCCCCCCCCCCCCAGCAGTGATTATCCATTCCCCTCTTGTGAAAAACACTTAAGAAAGCAGTTAAGGATGAAGAGCTCTGAGGAACATATTTCATTAAGATAAACATAAGCAAGATCACAGGAGGCTTAATGTAAAAAGAAATAGAAAAAAAGCATTCGCTGTAAACGCTGGCTTTTTCCAAGTGCATGGGTGGTCCAACTCATTAAGTTGTTTAAAACAAGCTCTTCAAATTAATAGGGAGTTTTGTTCCTTGTGCGATAAATCAGTCTCCACATTCTATATTTTAATGGGACTCTAGAAAAGTTGTGCTATTATCGCCCACAAAAAGCTGCAGGTTTTATGCTAAGCCCTGGAGTGTTTAGTTTTTTTAAAATCACTTATAAGATTCCAAAACATCATATTATTTTCAGGCAAAAGAAGAACTGAAGTGAAATCTTGCGTTCACTACTGTACTCTCTAGTCTTGGCATTCTGTTGCATGCTTTGTACATGAAGAATCAAAGCGGTGTTTTGTGTGAAGTTTGCTATTAAGAAACACACTGTTTGGGAAAGCTGGAACACTGGAAGATAGGAATTCTGAATGGCAGAAAATGGAGCAGTCCCAGCAATACTGATCTACGCCAGTGAAATATTTTTATTTACTTATTCATCACATTCCTATTCCTTATATCCAACCTTTCCTCCATGGAGCTCAGAGTAGTGGACATGGTTCTCCTTCTTGTCATTTCATCCCCACCACCACCTTTTGTGGTAGATTAGCCTGAGAGACTACCATGTAGATGGGCAACCAGTGCAATTGCTTTAAAGGATGGTGTCTCTAATCAACCCCTTTGTTTGTTAGGTCTTCCTTGCAATGTTGGTCTGACAAAGTGATCAGGAACAGGAGATTTCTTCACGGCAGTCATCTATCACCCTGTATCACTCTTTAGCATCAGTCAGGAAATCCAGCTTAATTAGATTGTTATTATTGGATGGTTCAAACACAGTTGCTTCCTGAACCACTCCTGTGTGCTGCATAAGAACTAAAAATAATTTACTCTATTGATTTCATCCTCCCTCCACTATTGCCTCTTTGCTGTGCCGACCATTCACACCATTCTCAAATGCATTTTTAAAAATTATTATTATTTTGCCACAGGTTCCATGTAGACCCTCCTAGTTCTCAAATCGCTTTTGGTTTGCAAAGAATGGCTTCCCAGCAAAGAGATTTAAAGCTTATGCTCCTGTTGTGGATGTACTCATAACACCCATGGGGCCTCAAGCAGAACATTTCAAATCCCTGCTTGAGCTCTCAAGCCTCAAACCAGGAATCCATGGATTTGGAGACTGTTAGAGGCTATATGCCTCCAGATGTCAGTAACTGGGGATCACAGGTAGGGAGAATGTTCTGTTGCAGATATCAATATGATGTAGCATGAAGCAATTGGATGCATAAAAACTGACTCCTTTTGGAATAAAAATTGTCCAGACCCATAAATATGATTTAAAGGTTTACTAACCAGAACCTCTTCAAAACAGGTACAAAAACAATACATCCAAATAATTCCACAAAGAAAATCCTTATCCAAGCATAGGTTCCTCTTAAATATATAACATAATTATGATCAGAGCAAAATCAAAGCTCTCTCTCTCCCCATAGCCTGCATCCAGCCTAAGACTATTCAGCTCCTGGAGAGGCTTCATTATCACATCCTTCTCTCACTGTGCCTGGGAACAAAAGGCCAAGAGGCAACTCCTTTTCAAAATGGAGATTTGCCATTGAAATACCTTAATCACATGATCTCAGGTTAAACACTTGTGTGAAAGGTAACAGAGAACATCAACAGTTGATTATCAACCCAGCTAGAAGCTCAGAGATCTCTCTTCTAGTTTAGTATACTCCAATGAAATTTTCCAATGTTAAACCCTTCAGAGATATACATACAAGCATTCTCCATTTCTGTATACAATTAAACAATTATACTAAACATGCTCTCACACTCAGTTGTTCCTTGGGGCAACTGGTTGGCCACTGTGAGACCAGGATGCTGGATTAGATGAGCCCTTTAGCCTAATTCAGCAGGCTCATCTTATGTTCTTATGTAACAGCTATCCCATGCATGAAGGCCAACACTGGATCTGCTTTTTGGAGAAACGAAAACTGTCAACTCATTGAGTTTTATGTGCATAAGCACATAAACGTATGTCATAGTCATGCCAGGGTACCCACTGTGTTCAGGGAATATGCATTCACATTCCATGTCTGTGTCACTATGGTTTTTTCTCATACCCAACATCTTTGGATGTGGCCTCTGTAAGAAACAAGCTATGAATGCTATTGAAAAGGTTTGTGATAGAGTTCTCAGTATTTTGCCACTGCAGCCGTATCTGAATTTTGCGAAACCTACTGGAATTCCCCTTTGTTTGTTCTTTTAACAGTACTGGATGCAGTAATGGAAAAACCTTTTCTTCTTCTAGAAACCAATTATCCTGTTTAATATTTAGCTAGAGTCCCGTGGTAGACCAGCCATTCCTGAACTGTCATTTTCAGTGCAAGTTACTAAACTACCGTTAATGTTACACTCGCAAGGCATTCCAAAGTTGCTATAATTTTTCTGGCAGCCAGTGCACAGTCCTGTGCCACCCTTTAAAAACTAAAATCACAAAAGCCACTCAGCCAGGTGACCTTCAGCTAGTCACCCTCTCTTAGCTGTGAGGGTTGCTGTGAGAATAAAAAGGGCATGCCACCTTTCCTAGAGGGGAAAGAGAGGGTGTAAATATAAGAAAAAATGCCAATTACAATGGAGGGGTGGATGTGGCAGGCAGATCAACTGGAAAAGCAATGAGCTTGCGGCAGTCTATAGGCTTCCTATTGAGAATCAAGTCCACACCAGGGCCTCACCTTCATTTCCTTGCCTGGCAAGTTCTGTGGCCGCTATTGTTTCCATAAAAGTCATGGGATAAAACAGATAATTGAAGGCAGAAAAAAAGCACCGTGTCTTGCATCCCATTCACCTGCTCTTCCTGCTTCAGGAAGGATGTAGGACCATCCTGAACGGAAAAACATCAGTTCTGTTTCTTCCCTATTGCGAAAGGGAAAATCAGCTGCTACATGAAACGCCAAAGTATGCCGGGGAATACTAATGGAGCTCTGTTTTGCTTTCCTCCTTAAAAGTCAGCAGCAGCTGCTTCATGTCCCAAGGCACAAGATAAGCAATGTGACATTTGTGGCTGTTCACATGCACTGATTTGTTTTAGCTTATTGTGTTCTCGGCGGGATTTCTTAGTGCTCAGCGACTGGAATGAAGCCCAAGGAATATTAGAACGATGAAATTGCTAGAAGGGGGATTGGGTGGAGGGTGGTGGTGGTGCAGGAGGAGAGTGGACATCAAGTAAACAGATCGCGAGCTCATACTTCTCCTCTAAAGTGGCTTTTGCTGACAAGAGAATTAGAGCAAGATGACTTTGGCAGGCTGCATGTTGTGTTAGCTGCACAAACTTTTGCTTTCCTCTGATATAGCCTCTTAATAGTTGGGTGGGATACTTTTTCCACATTTCATGGACAGATTGATTCATACTTTGGTGAGCAGATGGCTTCTTTTTTGCCGTTACGCACCAGTATTCCCCCCTCCCTTTTTCTTTTTGGTAGTCATAGTATACACATTAATGATTTATTTTCTGTTTTCGCCAGGTGTTCGTAATTGTTTGCGTTTTTTCTTCAGATGGACTTTCCCCCTTGGCTCAGCTCTCGTATCCAGTATTTGGAATGGGAACTTTCCCTGCTCTCTTTTTTTTATTACAAACAAAACATACAGCTATTTACACAAGTTCACTTCAGTGAGTATGCCCACTTTAGTTAAATAACTGTGGAGCAACCCTCTGTAAGGTGTAGCACACCTTGAAAGGCAATCCAAAGAGATGACAGTGTCAGATTTGGAGATAAGGTAAAGGTAAAAGGCCCCCTGACCATTAGGTCCAGTCGTGGCCGACTCTGGGGTTGCAGCGCTCATCTCGCTTTATTGGCCGAGGGAGTCGGCATACAGCTTCCGGGTCATGTGGCCAGCATGACTAAGTCGCTTCAGGTGAACCAGAACAGTTCACAGAAACACCGTTTACCTTCCCACCGGAGCAGTACCTATTTGTCTACTTGCACTTTGACAAGCTTTCGAACTGCTAGGTTGGCAGGAGCTGGAACCCAGCAATGGGAGCTCACCCCATTGTGGGGATTCAAACCTCCGACCTTCTGATCGGCAAGTCCTAGGCTCTGTAGTTTAACCCACAGCGCCACCCGCGTCCCTAGAATTGGAGATAACTTTCTGTACAAAGGGAGAGGGCCGTTGTGATCAGCATTAGGTGCCTAAAACCAAGACATCACTTTGATTTCCCAAAACACCCCAGAGTGACGTGACATTGTGGGGAACTGAAGTAGCACCCAGATCCAACCACCCATTGCAAGGGGAGGACCTCAATACTAGAGCATCTGCTTTGCATGCAGAAGGTCCTAGGTTCATTCCCCAGCATCTCCAGGTAGGTCTGGAGATCTGAAAATCCTGGAGAGACACTACCAGTCCGTGAAGACAATATTGAGCTAGATAGATCAGTGATTTGACTCAGTGTAAGGCAGATTCCTATGTCAAATCCAGGGGAGATGTTAAAGCAGGCTTCAATGCAGATTGAGATGGAAAGCTGATGTGGCAGAAGTTTTGAGTAGTTGCCTGCAAACCGACTGGGCCTGTTTGGAGGTTTTGCCTTCCTCATGGCAAAAAGCCATAACTTTTGGTGGATAAGGTATTGGGTGCAATCCTTTAGTCTAATATCAGGTTGGGGTGAAGTGGTGCGTCATCCCTACCACAGGCAAGTGTGACCTTAGGGTGCCCAGTTAAAGGTAAAGGTAAAGAGACCCCTGACCATTAGGTCCAGTCATGGACGACTCTGGGGTTGTGGTGCTCATCTCGCTTTATTGGCCAAGGGAGCTTCCGGGTCATGTGGCCAGCATGACTAAGCCGCTTCTGGCGAACCAGAGCAGCTCACGGAAACGCCGTTTACCTTCCCGCCAGAGTGGTACCTATTTATCTACTTGTACTTTGATGTGCTTTTGAACTGCTAGGTTGGCAGGAGCAGGGACAGAGCAACGGGAGCTCACCCCATCGCGGGGATTTGAACCGCAACCTTCTGATCGGCAAGCCCTAGGCTCTGTGGTTTAACCCACAGTGGGGTCTAAATGGAAGTTTCTGTCTAGAAGTCAAGCTTGGGGTAGGTGGGCTGTAGAGCTTCCAGCGGTGGCTGGGGGAGGGGGACCTCAGTAGACTTGTGTCTTGAGGAGTCCCCAGATCCCAGGCATCCCCCTGCTTAAGTTTCAGCCATCCATTCGGAGGCTGAAAATAGATATACACCCAATGCCTGATTCAAAGCCTACCTACATATGTAATCAATGAAAGTGTTAGCCAATTTAAAATCCCAGAATGTTGTCTTGTCCAGTTTGTTTACATCTCTTATTGCCTTTGGCCTTCACCCACCGGGATGTGGTGGTGTCGGTGCTGTGAGTTGGTCCACAATGCAGCCTTCCATGCAGATTGAGTTGGGAAGGTGTTATGGCAGAAGTCTGTGTCGGTAGTTGGCAAGTGGTGGGTCATATATTTGAATGCATCCTTAAAAATTACCTGCAGACAGGAAATCAGCACAATGGGCTGAACTAGGATCTTTTATCCCTGGCAATGAGCTATATGTGTGATCCAGCACCTGCAGTGGTACAATCCCTCCTACCATCTCAGAAGTGCACACTCTTATTCTGCCGTGTGTTATAGACCAGGCCTGAATCGGAGACTTCTATGTATTTCCAGTGGCTTTTGCTGCTAATTCCGCTCAGCGCTGCTGAAAAGCCCAGACAAAAATTGCTTGGCAGCAGGGCGCAAGGCCATCCATGCACTCAAAGGAACAGACTCAGCAGATATCACTCATAAAACCGCCCCCATAACAGTTGGGAACCAGTTGGAGAGGTTTCAGCGTGAATATCAATGAGCAGGGAGGGCTCCACCAGGATGGGATCGTCTGGCATATTTTGTTTTGCTTTGAGTTCTTTCCAGACATATTTCAGTTTACATAAATATTTGAAGGTCGGATCAGACAGGATTTGCAGCACAATAGTATTTGGAATGCCTTAGCAAAAACTTTGATAAGGTCTCTTTTAGGTTCCAGGAAAGGGGCGGTAGAGAGAAGGGAGAGTCTTTTCAACAGTCAAGTTTTATACACAAAGCCAACAGCTCTCTGGACTGACTTGCTTGCAGATTATTATTGTTATTACTCCAAATAAATATGTTTAAAGTGTCCCCTCTCTCTTTTTGCATGTTGGTTAGAAAGTGAGCTGTATTTTTTCAAGACAACTTCCAAGCTTCTTTGCATACAGGCAGATATTTGCAGAGTTAAACAACCTACATGCCTCGTCACTTTAATAAGCTGCCTTGTCATGACTCCCTTCCTGGAATCTAAATTAGATCAGGATTTAGGGTGTGAAGTTGCCTTTTGGCTCCTGTGAACTGTGTTGTTTTTTTGTCACCATCCCCACAACATGTTTAGAGAAATAAAAGGAGGACCTCACCCTTTTGAGTTAAGCAATCTGCTTCTCACAAAAGGAAAATACTGCAACTCTCCCCAATTAGTGCCTCATGAAAAGCTGTGTGGCAGGAGACACACACACCTCTTCAAACACTATTTCAGTGGGAAAAGTTTGTTTTTGAGGTTGCAGTCAATATACAGAAAGCACAAAAACACACAACATTTGAGAGATGGGGAATACAAAGGGTCATACTCTCTGGTTGTGCAGCAGCAATGAATTCTCAATAAAGCAGCAGCATTCTTTCCTATTTCTTCTGTCTGCCACACCGCATGGAAGGAGGGGTTTGGGGGAAAGCATTCAACAATGGGCTCATCCATACTTACCTTTCTCCCACCATTTTCCCCTGAGGAAATCCGATCTTTACTGCTGAATCAGAGCAAACATCCATCGGGTTTTCCATGGATTGACGTTCACTCCAATTTATCGCTAAAGAGCAGCTTTCCCCAGATAAAGCTGTGGGGCAGGGGCAAAACCATGTGGGCTTGTGCCAAGAAACTGCAGGACAAATAGAAAACAGCTTTCTAGGCATGAGACAAGCACAAGTCTAGTCTTGATGAGCAACAAACTCATTTTGGTATATTTCCACTGATGAAGCTTTTGTGGAAGAACTATACTAGGCATTCCATTTATGGTGGCATTTTCTTATATCTTACATTCTGCATTCCATTCAAATAGGTGGAACTGTGAACAAGGTTAACAGAGTTTTGAAAAATTGAGCAAAAGGATACAAGGGGATCTACAGCAACCATCTTTGAGAAATTCTTCAATTTTTGTGCTGACGGAATATAAAATGGGATGCAATCTAGGAGACTTGAGGTGGCTGGAGAAATTATTATAATTCCATCTGCTTCTTATATAAGGTGGTCTGTAACAATGAGATACCTGATTTATAATCACCTTTGATTCAAATTTTAGGAAAACAAACAACCCCCGCCTTGGCATGTTCAGAGTTCCATTTATGTGTGTTAACAGGAAAAATTCAACCCTCCCATATATTTCTCCTGGAAGGGACAGCTATCCTTTCACATTGATGCACTGTTGTTCTTCGGTGGATTTGTCACAAAGCCTCCTGTTACGAACTTTCAACTTTATAGTCTATGAAATTTCAATTTTCCTCTCTTCCAATTTGCAGAATTGTTTTCATAATGGAGTTTTAATGACGGTAGGGGAGCAAAATTGCCAGTGTTTTGTGTGTGTGTGGGGGTGCTGTTCCTTTTGGCTAGGGTACTTTTTCTTTTAAATTAAGTATATCTCTTGATTAGGGTGTGTGCCTTGCAGCAAACTGGGGTAAGTGAAATGTTAACATTGGCTGCTAAGTGAAGCAGGAAAGGGCTTCCCAGGGAGATTTATTGTTTACATTCAATGAAAGGAAAAGTCTAACTTGAAATGCTCAGATTTAATCTCGGTGCTGATTAAAATGGGGCTATTGTATTGTGCCAGGGTTGTTTGGAAAGGTGAACTGAGGCTTTCATGTAGCTACAGTAAATCGACATGTCCCTGAGGTTTGCATGCGATCAGACCAGACAGACATGCTTAGCAGTTTGCAGTGAGGGTTCTGCCCTGCTGATAGCACAATAACCACTTCTTATTCTGTTTAATCTTTACCTGCTTGTATAAACATCTCTGGAACCTGCTTTTGTATGCCAGCTATTTCCTTTCTTCTTCTTCTTTGGCGATCACTCGTCGCCGAGTAAGACTGTCTTCCTTGAACATGGTCTTAACAGTGAGTCTGTACACTCACTCCTGCATTATGGCTTCATTTGCTGCATTTCCACACTGCCCAGTAACTAAAGTTCTCTGGGTGGGTTACAATAACAAATAAACTGTAGTAGTAGTAATAATAATAATAATAATACATGCATATGAATTTGAAAACAGTAAATACACAGGATAAAACCAGGATAAAGCCTTCAATAGGGGAAATAGCAATGCAAAATGCTTTTCTAAAAGTCCCAGGAGAATCAAAGGGTCATCAGATGGCACTGAAAAGACAATGTGGGTACCTGGTGAGCATAGAGGAAGAGAAAGCTGATATTAATATCCAACCAAGTATCCTGGGCCTAGGCCACACCTCCTCCCTTACATGGACCCCCAGATCGTATTCTCAAGCCTCCCTCTGGAATATTATTCCCCCTGGAATAATATGATTGCAGTTAGAAATCTTTTGGCCAATTAGCAATCTTTTAGACATGTTCTGGAACTAATGTTCCTGGCTCGTTCTCAAAGTCAGCCTAAGCTGACAACAAGCTGCATTTACCTACCTACGACCATTTTTGTGCCACCCTTCCACCAAGGAGTTTAAGGTGGTTTAGACAGAATCATAGAATTGTAGAGTTGGGACCCCAAGAGTCATCTAGTCCCACCCCCTGCAATGCAGGAATCTCAACTAAGGCATCCATGACAGGCGGCCATCCAACTTCTGCTTAAAACCTCCAGTGAAGGAGAGTCCACAACCTTCCATTCCACAGTCAAACTGCTCTTACCGCCAGAAAGTTCTCCCTGATGTTTAGTCAGAATCTCCTCTCTCTCTCTTCCCCTCCCCACAACAACCCTGTGAGATAAGTTAGGCTGTGTCCTCTCCTGGCAAGGCAGGCTGGTGGTTGCAGTACCATGGATAGCTCCAACTTGCTGAGTCCATTTGAGCCTCTCCCTCCCATCTACCTCTTCTAGGCTCCACCCAGCTATGGAGAGCTGAAGACAGGTGCTTCTCCTATATTCCATGGTCTTCCACCTAGCAGACTCTCTGCATTGCTGCACGATTGGAGGCTCTTAGTTCCCCAGGCCCAGTAGAAGGCACCCATGTAGGTCCTGGTTCTGGCTCCACAGGGTCTTAGTGTTATGGGTGGTAGACCAGTGGTTGCCTATCTTCCAACCTCAAATCAGTCTCTTAAGCTTAAGCCAAGAAATAGTATTCTCTATAAAATTGAATATCAATATACGTATCAAGGCTTTGAGATCAGACCACTGGAGAAGCCTGGAAAACTACCTTGGGTGTGTGCTATCTGCAAGCCCCAGTAAAAGGGCCCCATTGGGGGTGAACAGTGGCCTCTTGATTACTTGGACTGCCAGGATGAAACAGGTGCAAAACACTGGCACCCCATCTACAACTTCATTAACATCAACCTACAACTTCACTAGCATCTCTTGGTATTGTGACCCACACGCCGAACTTACCTTTTGTTGGTATCTTCATGAACTTACCTAAAAAGATAAAGAAAACAAAAGACTGAGTTAAGCATTTGAAAAATCCATTAAAACCAAACATTATAAGTTCATCTTAGGTTGGGTAGTTCACAAGTCTCTGTGGCTTTGCATAAGGTTTTGTATTTTTCTCAGAAGATTGATAAAGAATGTATAATTATTATTGTGTCTTCCAACCTCAGCTTCAGTGGTCTCCAATCCACAACATCAGGCTCAGGGTCTGGAACTGGGTCTGGCTATTCAGCCAGTAGCACTGCAGCCTCTCATATGCTGTCATGGACACTGCAGAAATCCAGGGTCACGGCAGGCTAAGAGATGGTTACAGGCACTAGGTCATCCAACGAGCTTCATGACTGAGTGGGGATTAGAACCATGGTCTCCCCTATGCTGCTCCAACACTCTCATCACTACAATGCAAAAGTGGTGCCAGCCTGCATGCTATTATTTTATATAAATGACAGTGGCCCTACCCCAAAGTATGCACACCACTGTCATTCAGAGGTGGGTTTAGGGCAGCGCGACTGGTTCCACCACATTGGACATCAAGCCTAGGGGATGCCACAGGGAGTCACAACCATGGCATAGTGAATTGAGCAGAACGGAAGACGAGAGGCAAGTGGCAGTATTGGGTGGTGTTACACTGCAGTGGCACTGGGTGTCACACTGCAGGGAGCACCACAACAATGCTGTAGAACAGAGCACGAGCTGGGGGCACCAAACTTTAGCATCGCACAGGCTTCCACTGAAAATTGAAACATTCTGCCACTGTTGCCAAATTTTGGCCTTGCACGGGGCACTGCTGAAAAAAAACAAAGTTTGCCCATGCTGTCATTAACATAGAGGCACTGGCCAGTGCACATAGGCTGATCAGGATGGTGATGGGAGGTAGATTGTGCAGAGCCAGAATGCTGTCCCATTTGCCCACCCACCCCCAAGCCTGGAGCAGGGTCTATTTACTTCCCTGTTCTGAGATCAAATGTAGGCACCCCTTTTAATGCCACCTGTGTATCAGACAGTAGAAAGTTGACCCTCCCCACTGCGGTTGTTTCCTCCAATCAGTGCATTAGACCTGGCTGCTGTGGAACGAGAAGTTGTGAAATCCTAATGGTTTCCCTTGGCAAGTACATCTAAATTTGATTCCTGCTTCTTAGAGGAAATGACAATAGTTGCTTCTACTTAGTAGATGAACTTGCCACACCTGCTTACCTGGAGGTTTCCCAGACTGCAAGTTTGTGTGTCTTCGGCAAGCATTCTGAGAGCTATCTGTTTGCTAGTTAGTGCTAAGTGGTTTTAATGGGACATTCCCTATTTTAAAATAGCCAACTGCTCCAAAATGGTTGCAAGGTGTTCAGAAAAAAAAAGTCTCGAACTGATTTGCAACCAGTTAAAAAGTACCATAAAATAGCCATAAGCAATAAAAACCATTCCAAACACTTTGGGAAGTGTTCTGATAATTATCTGTTTGGGCATGAACTATAAATCCAAGTCAATGAACAAAGAAATTGATAAATAAAATGTTGTTATTACGGTAGTTATTAACTACTGCTGTGGTATTCAATTAGCATTTCTATAAGCAGTCCAAAATGATTGTGTATGCCTCAGAAGTATGGTCATACATTTCACCAGATTCATGAAATCATCTGAACTTTAATTGTATGTAGAATTGTTCCAGTCTCCTACTGGCATTAACTTCTGTAACTTCAGAACAGTTGTTGGCATCTATGAAAGTAGGAAGGAAAAAAAACCTAATCTATGAGTGCAACCATGTCTTCCTTTTCCCTTGATGGTATCTGGTCAACGTACATGAGCAATTTATTATCCTAACCAATTAGGGGGGGAAATGCCATCAATGATATTGCTTTTCCCATGGTTCTTTAATTGTGTCTGTGGGCATTTAGAATGAAAAAGAAATGAAATCTTCTTAGTCACCTAGCAACGTCACTTCATAACTTTCATATAATTAGGCAGCTGGGTTGACCTTTACCAAGAAAAATTCTTACTAGAACATTAACTGGCAAACTCCAAGGTTTTTCACAAGCAGATGCTGGAGGGTTTATTACAAGGCACTTAATTTTTTTTGTTTGTTTTGCAGATAAAAAAAATCAAAAACAAAAGAGGGTAACATCCCCTCTACAACAGC